CTATGTTATATCAGTTGTCTAATACCCATAACACAAGCTCTAGATTACTTTGAGACTAGATGGCGCTGTGTGAATTGTCCTAGAAAATATATAGGTAAATATAAATATTTGTACTAAAATTATATATGCGAAAGTGTCTCTTCATTGGTGGATTTTTGGTCAGCCTGCACCTGACTACACGAGAATGAGAACATAGTAGGTACCCTGTAGTGGACAAGTATAATAAAACTACACAGTTTATAGTAAGTCCTACAGGTATTGTAAAACATAAATTGTGGGTAACTATAAACATAAATATACATACTAAAGATGCTCGGAGCTGCACCCGCGTTCAGTGCAATGTGATAAATTCTAGAACGTTAGTGGAGTGCAACAGAAATACGCGAGAATGCAAGCTTATAAGAATAATGGAATGAGGCGAGGTCGGAAAGGTAATAACGTTAATTGCTATTTCTATTATAGTCTGACTTACACCTGTATAATTAAATGCTTTACCGCAGGTTCTACTTAAAATAAAAGCTATACAGCGAACTGTACATTTTATATTTAGTTGTCTTTATTCGACGGTCTTGGTTGTTTAGTGGTTTAGCATACCGCCTTACTTCGGATATTTGCAGGTTCTATTCCTCCAACGGTACAAACATTTGTATGCATGGGTATTATTATTTTTACTAGCTCAATTCGCGACTTCGTGCGCGTGGAATTTAACTTGATTTTTCTAAAATAAAAGTAGCCTAAGTTACTCCTTATTTCATCAGCTACCTGCCAAAAAAAGTCTCGTCAGAGATTGGCTGGAACAAACAGACAGACAGACAGACAGATAAAAATTGGAAAAAATGTTATTTTGGTGTATGTACCGTATTTATATTCATATGCATTTAGTAAAAAACGGTTATTTCAATATTACAAACAGACACTCCAATTTTATTTATATGTATAGATTAGTCTGATATAATAGCATAATTAAATGCTTTAGTTATGCTATTATTTTATTTTATTTTATTTTAGTTATGCTACAGGTTCAATGAGAAATAAAAGGTTTTCTGTGAGTGTATATTTTACATTTAGTTGTATTCTATTATCTTTATTCCACCCTCAGTTGTTTAGTGGTTTAGCACACTGCCTTACTTCCGATGATTACGGTTTCTATTGGTCCCATGCTACTCACATTTGTATTCATTAATATAATTGTTTGTATTAGTCCATGTGTTTTCTATATATGTCTGTATTTACAGAAAGAAATGTTTTTAACTTTTGTAAAAGTTGTCTAGTAACCATAATACAAGTTCATAGCTTGGGACTAAATGGCGGTATGTGAATTGTACTGGGTTATAATTTTGCTTTTTCTGTGAATAGGTAGCCTCATTTCAAATACTGTCACGCAGCGAAATTCTCGGCATAGCCCTCTTCAAAGCTCACTAAACGATTTGGAGCTTCCTGATATAGGTGCCTACTATAAAGTGTATCTAATGTTGTTATATTACATATTATATTAGATATAACAAGCAGTAACAGTTCCATAATATGTGATTATAGGAAACATGTATTTGTTAAATGGCATTGTCGTAATTTTGTAGGTATTTGTAGGATTTCTTTCTTTTTTAATTACTGTAGTATCTGTGAAACAAAAAACTCGATCCGAAAAAAGTATGAGAGTTGAACTCACATACTTTTTTCGGATCGAGTTTTTAGTCAAACTGATGTATTATTAGCATATCATAATTATATTAGCTTATAGATATACTTGTTATTCCCTGCGGCTTCGCTCGCGTTAATTATCTCAATATATATTTCCGCCTTCTGCATCTCCTTATTTTATTCGCAAATCAACCCGATTTACCAAAAAATAATATAAGTATGAATATATAATCTATATACACAAATTTTCTCTATATAATGATTTAAGCTAAGCGTTGACGGGTCAACGCTTTATTTATTTATATAGAAGATGTATGACATTAGATATATCTTCGTGGGATTGTCTTCTGCAATGCGTTCTACTGTAACTTCATATATTTTCTTTGTACCGGATAAAGAAATGCGGATAAATAGTACGTATGAATAGCGAATTGTCTTACTGTGACAGTAACACAATTCGCTTTCTTAATTAGGCACCACTCCTATTTAAATCTTTTTATATTATAGTATAATAGGGTGTTATTATGATGTTAAGTCCGCTATATGTACCTTTTTTATATTTGTGCATTAAAGTTTTAATAAATAAATAAAATAAAATTTACTGCTGAATTTCATCGCAGACTAAATTCTAGTTTTCTAACTTCAAATCCACATTGCGGATGACTATTTAGCAATAAATATTTGTAATACAATGAATCTGTAAGAATCTTCTTCTAAAGATATGTTTCTTTTCATATGTTATGGAGATATTGGTTTATTATTGCAGACGCTTTCAGAAATAACTGTATCAACCGTTTTATGGACGAAAGAGTAGATATAAAATGAAATATGTCAATATGTTGTGAATAAGCGAGATAAAGTTGTACCTCAGCCATTTTATATACATTGTAGATAGCCAGTCATAATTTGTATAAAACCTTGAGTATTGTATTATAAAACAGTGAAATTTTACAGTATTAATTGCCATATTTCTCCGAAACGACTCAACTGATTTAGATGGTACTTTATATGTGTACTCGGTAGGTCTGAGAACAGGTTGTTATGTATTTTTTATACCTCTAGTGATGAGAATAGCACACCCTAATATTTTATTTATTTTTGACATAATTTTGTATTTTTTTTATATTTTTATGACATTTACGTATTCATTATAAATATATACAGCCCAAAATTTTCATCCTTCTTTTAAAAAACGATATTAATCTATATGGTACTACAACAATTACTGGATGTGCTAGTAGAATATAAAAGTGATATATTAGAATAATATTTTATTATTTGTGGAAGCTTAAAACTAAAATGAAAAGTTATCCTTTAATCTTTTATCTATTTTTACAGTATTAATTATATTAACTCAACTTACGAGTCTTTTTACTAATAACTTAAAATTTTACTAAAAGAAGCTACATAGAATAATTAATTAAATGATATTAAGGTAACAGGAATCAGATGGAAGTTACAAAGAAGTTACTTTGTCACAAACTTACTTAAGTTTATAATTACATGATCCTAAAAACTGATTATTAGCTCTATCCCATAGTTTATTTTATGCATTTTCAAGATTATTGAATCAGATGGGGTAGACAGAGATGTTGTCAATTTATTGTCGTTGTAAAAGCACATTACACATGACCGCATTTCATTGAGTATATTTGAATCCAGCGTGGAGAGCGTGGCTTTGTATTATTGCGAATTTTTTTAATTTTAGTAGATGTTCATAATGCATTCATTTATAGACCATAAAAGGATCAGAATGTCGGTCGGAAATAAAACAAACTGTAGTAAAAGACCACAATTCAATTTAAAGCCTCTACGTTCCGAGTAGATATATTTTTATGTAGCTGCCCTGAACTTAGTGCCTTCTTGTCTCGCCCTTATTCTGGAGGTCAATAAATAACAATGTAAGTCTAGCAAATAACTCTTGCTTGATTCCCACGTTTATTTATTTTCAGAACGGCTGCTTCTTGAAATGTTTTTAATTGCTGGATTTGACAACAATCTTGATGTATTATTTATAAGTTTATATAAATAATACCACCGACATAATTTTGATATATATGTATATATATATATATATATTATGTGACACAAAAATAAGGAAAATCTAATACAAACCGAGATATACATCAATACGTGATTATAACATACGAATTAAGACAAACTTATAACAAAGAAAAGACTAACATAATCTATTATGCAGGGACTGCTATTGATGATAATAATGATATAATTGACTACCAAAAGAAATAGCCGATTTTCCAATTTTAAAATTTAGAAGTATTATGAATTTTGTTTTTTAAATAATCTTTTATCACATCAATGAATAATAATAATAAACTCAGGACAATTCACATAGCGCCATCTAGACCCAAGTTAAGCTAGTTCAAGTTTGTGTTATGGGTAATAGATAACTGATACAAATACATAAACATTTTTTAAATAAATACATATTATACATAGAAAACACCCGGACCGACACAAACAATCCTACTCAAGAATACAAATGTTTGTGCCGTGCGCGGAATCTAACCCGCGACCATCGGAAGTAAGGTAGTGTATTAAACCACTAGACCAGCGAGGCCGTCATATATACATGTCAAAAGCAAATTTCTGTTAATGATGAATGTTAATGTTTACTATTAAATTATAATTTTGTAACTGACGAGTCAAATGTAATCTGTTTCACATGGCAAATAAATAAATATTGTTTGTATTCATTATGAAACACTTTGAACTTTGTAGCACTGTGGTTAGGATTGCTTAACAGAAGTACTCGAAATATTTATGCTCGGTCGGGAAAATCAATTAAAATAAAATTTACAAGTTGGCTCGGATCTTGACGTTTTGTTATGTCCCCAGACATTTTAATGCCAAGGCTTCGCATAGTTCAAAAGGCGTCTCCTCTGTGGTTAACCGGACTAGATTAACTTTAAAATAGTTTTCTATTCGATACTCGATTTCAATATTTATTTATTATTTAAAAATAAAATATTTTTAATTTTTAATAGTAACATTATTTACAAATAGCTAGTATTGTAAATTATTAACTAAAGTCTTATTTTTCTTATGCTTGTTTATACATTATAGTTTTCTTAGACATATTATAAAAAAACAAGAAAAAAAAATAAGATTTTTTAAAATTATAACAATATTATTTATTATTATCAAACTTAAAAGCGATAACGTACCTATATATATTCGTAAAAAAATAGAGTATCATAATTTTTCTGTATCCCACTAGATATTTCGATTCGAAGCCTATTTTATATCTTTTTTATTCCTGTTTTGCTCTTAAACTAATTTTGTCTATTACAGGTAGTTTTTCAATATAATAATTAAAATATAATCTTTTAAGTTCTTACCAGGCATCGAGTGTTGGTAATTTCAAAAGTTCACATTGCCTTTATTTTTTCACAATCATATTCTTATACTTCGATACTATTGTGTAAAGAAATAACTTCACTATAACATAACGAATATAATACACTTCTCTATTTATATAGATCGATCGGAGAAAAGTTTAAGGGATCGAAGCGAAACGTTCAGCCCCTTTAACGTCTGCAACAGAACTGAATCCTCTGATCCTCTGACAGAGTTACGAAGTGTTATGTATTTGCGGATCATGAATTTATTACTCAGTATCTACTGTTATTCCAATTTATGTGGTTCGAGTTAGAAATATATATTAATAATGATACAGTAAGGCCAGGGCCGGACTAAGGCCTAGGCAACCTAGACACGTGCCTAGGGCCCGTAATTTTTAAAAGTACCAAACGCAAAGTTTGTGTCGTGACTGAAAAATTGGTCCGGAATTACAATGATGTTTATAGCCTGCTTTAGCCTTAATCTACCTTGAGGAGGAACGCTTATTTTAGTGGATAATTTTTATAGTATAAAGTAATTATCTATGATAGCTGGAAAATGAACTGGGACAACTGACATCAAGAAAACAGCCGAGTATTTTAAATAGATCTTTTTTTTAGTTTTATGTAAGGTATTTTAATTAAGGGATCAGTTTTGTGCTATTATATTATAGCTTTTGTATTTTGTGCATTTAAGTTGTATAAATAAATAAATACAAATGCTATCTAATTTATGTCCGTGTAGAAATTAAAATTGATCTCATTTATTATTGGTAAGGAATACAATTTTATTTATTACTGTAAAACAGATAACGATACTACTTAAACCGGCAACACATATAAATTAAAGTACTAATCATCATCATTGCCTTGCCTTTATCCCATTATTTTGGGTCGGCGCAGTATGTCATTCTCTTCCACTGCTCTCTATCAGTCGTCATATCTAAAAGTACTAATATCGCTATAAAAAATAAGGGTTGGTGGTAGAAGGGTGAAATTTACGAATGTATGTATGTCATTTTTAAGACTACATCATAAAAAAAAATTGTGATGGGTCAACTTTATTACTTGTGGGTATAAAAAAATAGGTAAATATCCTCAGACCTCCTCCTCTCATACCTACCGAGTATATGTACGTATAATTTCATCAAAATTAGTTAAGCCGTTTCGGAGAAAGTATGGCAACTAACATTGTAACAGAATTTTATATACATGTAAATAGTTTAATTGAAATATTTTTTTAATATGATTCATAATATTGAATAAGTGTAAATGTTAGACTCAATTACAAATTCTCCCAGAAATCAAACAGAAATATTATGTATTCATTTTATTATCAAAACACTACCTAAATAACTTCATGACTAAGAGAGAACTACGTGCCCGCAGACAGACCGACAGTAGTTTTGCTGGACAGTGATTTAAACATTGTAAAATTAGAAAAAATAAAGCTTTTTATCTATCTATTTTTTTTATCTATCAAAAATACTATTGTTAATTCATAACAAATGAGTTAGTACACATTAACAAAATGATTTAGTTATCATAGAAATTAATTTAAACAACATTACATATGGGTATTTATTGGAATAATTAGTAGAAAGATGGGATCTGTAGGCGACATATAGTCGGCACCTAAGTGCCGGTTTCGATGTCAAATATAAATCAAAACGATAGTATAACAGACGATAAATACACATATCCCTCTTCCCACGTTCTGTGTCACCTGTACCCATTGTATCCTGTAACAGGATATGATGGAAATTCTCTTAATAAAATTCTTAAAAAAACCAGAAAAAGTATGTTTCAAGAAGTGGCACTACTATGTGAACTAAACCTAAATACATAACCCAAATAACCATAAATTTTCACCCTTATGTAATATTTTTTAATATCGATATTAATTTATATGGTAAATGGGTCTACGAATAATAATATTTTTTTTTACTCGTTTCGTTCAATCAAATTAGTTATGCATGAAAGTTCAGAGTTCATTTGCGTCTTAAATTCAGGGCGGAAGACGCTAAGTTAGACGTTAGACGGTAAGTCTGTCATGCAGACAACTTACTATTTAGTCTTCCAATGAATTTATTTATATAAGAACCGCCTACTTATTTTTTTATATAAAGTCATTTGAATGTATCTATATAGATATACTTGCACGTTTCAATATCCGGACCGGAAATGGTGACGTCACATCATCTGTCAAAGGGCATTGCCTATCCGCCCAGTAGAGGCTTCCTGATTATGGAATAATATTCATTCAGAAATGTAATACTTAGTACAATTATGAAACACTGTATCAAGATTTTTTTTTATAAATGAAGTTTACTTTATAATATGTTAACAGATGTGTAAAAAAATAAGTTATGGTTTTTTCGACTATAAAAATTACAAATTGTGATATAGCCAGAAGGAATAAGAAGTTGTTTAACAATTGCATGGGAGATTTATATGAAACTACGAATGGGTATTTATTAGGTAGCTAGCTAGCCCAGGCTTCGCCCAGATGCATTATAAATCTTTGAATTTCTCGGCTTGTTCTATAATATCCACACCTAGCGATGAATTATACAACTTTACCTCACAAAAACATTTATTAATATTTTTAAATATGATTTATTACATAGCTTAGTAAATCCCTGGAGAGAGCCTAGAGATCTATAGTTACAGGTTTCGACTTACTTCGGATTTCAGACTCTCACAGGGAATAACTTGTACGTTTAAATATATTTTTTTGTTTTTTTGTTTAACACTGTAAGTTTCCTTGTGAGCACTAGTTAAGAATTTAAAAAGAAAAGATTATAAAAAAATATAACACGCATGTATTACAGATTCATCCTATCGTTTTGTAGAATAAAAATCGAAGTTGATCTAATTATTTCAATTAGATAAATTAAAACCTATTGTAGGTAGTAACGTATAGAGAAAGCGTATAAATATTAACGTATAAACATTCAATGGATTCGCCGTGGGGGTGCCGGGTCCATCGTGTGGCAGAGAGGGCAACTCCGAGCAGTTCTCGAGACTTGTGACCCGGCTGTAGGTTTACGGCCCCTCCGGCCGCTGTACGTCAACACTCACCTTCACCGCTCGTGATTCCCTCCTCGTTCAGCTAAATCTGGTAGTCTGAAAATACAGATTTAGATATACACATATATCAAAAACCATATATAGAAATATTATTTACGTTGTGCCCGATTTTTTAACTGGAATAATAAGTATTTATTTACTATTGTGAATTAGTGCCATTTGGAAATTTGATTCTTGAAATTCAATATTTTAAGATGTTGTGATAATAGACTGTTCTTCATCCTCGCCTCTTCCCGTTAAGCGGAGTCGACTTTCCTAATCTTGAGGCGCCATACATTTCGCTGGTAAACATCGTCATTTGACAGGTCTAACTCCTTCATGTCTCTATTCACACAGTTACCTACCTATTCACAAAATTCACACAATACCAAGTTGACTAATGCCCATAGTCAGCTTGGTGTTGTGTGATAATAGATAATTTATTTTTAACCACAAAATACATTATAGTTATAGTTATTGCGTGAATGAATAACGATGAAATGCAGTGATAACACTGCAACAAAATAAGTATATAATAATATGTATATACAATATACCGAATGACTAATAAGCCATTCATTATTATTACGCGGTTTCCTGTTTTCAAAGCATTAATTAAATTCGTTAGAATATTTAGTAGTTTTAAATAGTTATCTATAACTATTTACGCGTTACAAAACGTAGCTCTTCATATAGTGGTAACAGTCTAATGGTTTGATAATATGTTTTTATTACCTCGGGGAGTGTCCTTAAATATATGTAAAAGTGGTTAACTATTACGCTTTTGTATGTATGAAAGCACCGAAGCTCTGTGAATTGGAAATTTTGAAGCTACGTTACTTTTTGAAATTTATATAATTATTTATTAAGCAGTAAAATAATATGGATGATATAATTCGGCTACTGATTTATTAATAAACTAGATACTCGCCCCGGCTTCGCACGGGTGTACATGTATTATATATATAAACCTTCCTCTTGAATCAATCTATCTACTAAAAAAACCGCTTCAAAATCCGTTGCGTAGTTGTAAAGATTAAAGCATACATAGGGACGGACAGACAGCTACATCGACTTTGTTTTATACTATGTAAAATGTAATGATATTTTTATACTACAATTACTATCTGATGCTAAACGATTGCCATAGCTAATCGACAACTGAAACACCTGGGGTGTATTATACGTGTTTAGGAAACCGTAATATACCCTTCTACAAAATGGGGTCTAGAGCATGGGGTTTTTCAAGAATATATCAGACAACTTATATATACCTATCGATCGATGAATTAGTATATAGTTTATATTTTACTAGATATATAAAGTTTTTTTTTTCAATTGGACAATAATTAAATGGTACATCCATCTGCGTTAAGATTATGCTGGCGGGGCACCATTGGAGGATTATAAGATGAGCATGAGGATATGTATTTAGTGTATCATGGCACAATCACCAGGAATTTATCACGTTGATCCCCAGAGGGAACCGGCTGGAGGTCTACCTGATGTGGTACATTGCCAGCAATGGGGTCATTAGTCCATATACATACTAACAATCCCATCACCCTTGGTTTATAAAGATATAATATATAGATATAATATAAGCATTGTAAAAATATAATAATACTTTACTAAAATTCTATTATGCAAACAAAGTCATAGTAATATCCAACTTAGATAGCTGAAGTGACATGAGTTCTTTAAATGGCCAATAACTGGATGTCCTTATCTGGTAGTCGAAGTGGCGTCCTCTATTTCACGATTTGTCTCAGATTGCAGAAGGACAATTTGCAGAGGTCAGCGCCGTGTAGTTTTACATTGTGGATAAAATCTTATGTTATATTGAACGATTTTTATGTTTAATAAAAGTATTTCTCATTTTATAATATAATAATGATTTAATAATAACTCGGGACAATTATTCAGTCTCAAGTTAAGCAGAGCTTATGTGTTATTTACATAATTTACATATAAAAACATCAATACAATATATTTTACATATATTTTAGTTTTACATTGTGGATAAAATCTTATGTTATATTGAACGATTTTTATGTTTAATAAAAGTATTTCTCATTTTATAATATAATAATGATTTAATAATAACTCGGGACAATTATTCAGTCTCAAGTTAAGCAGAGCTTATGTTATGAGTATTAGACAACTAATGGGTATAGTTTGATTCATTTTTTTTATAAAGATATACATAATTTACATATAAAAACATCAATACACATAATTATTATCATGAATACAAATGTTTGTACCCTGCGAGGAAACGAACCCGCGAACATTGTAAGTAAGGCCTTGTGATAAACCGCTAGACGACTTAGGTTATTTTAACATTTACACTTATGTATTAAAATATAGAATAACTACTACAATAATACGTATATACTATAATACAACAATAATTATATATTATTATAGGCATGTTTTATACATAAGCCTATGGAAACCTTCTTATAATTATAGTGTAAATATGGAAAATCCAGAATCCAGTTTAGAAGTAATAAGCAAAGAAACAGATTGACTAAAATTTAGTTTTGGCCACCTTTTGGGATTTTCATAAATTTATTACTTATTACCATACGAAACACACTACAATCAGTACAAGAATTTGATTAGGAGCGTGTAGTTTGTTAAAAAACAGTATTGTAATCCAACACATTAGTATAAATTTGGATAATGGGTCGACTCATTATTGAATTCAGAATAGAGTTAACATATTGACGACCTCGGTGGCCTAGTGGTTTAGCACACCGCTTTACGTCCGATGGTCGCGGGTTCGATTCCTCGCACGGCACAAATATTTGTATATATGAGTAGTGTTTTCTATGTATAATAAGTATGTATTTACAAAAAAAATATATATCTATGTATTTGTATCAGTTGTATAGTACCCCAAGCTTTAGCTAGCTTAACTTGGGACTAGATAGCCCTGTGTGAATAGTCCTGAGATTATTATTATTAGTTTGGATAGAAACACATATATGTATATTACTATTATATAATCTGTGACAAATACTACTTTATATTATCTCCAGAATGTCCTATGAGCTTGAAAGGAATAAATCAAATAACGCCACTGAAAGAGAAGGAAAACTCGTAATAACTCGCAATAAAACCTCATACCAAGTTGCTTAAGCAGCATGGTAATTTGCTAATATCCGATTCTTGTGGAGATACCCAACAACGGAACGTTAATGGGTTGTTATAGTATTGTATATATTACATATAGTATAGGTATATGTATTTCTATATAAACAAAAGTGATGTGGTTTAGTGATTTACCTCGACTTAGATCCATGAGTCTGATTCTTGCCGATACCCAAAAATATTTGTGTGTTATTTTATTAGCGGTGGACTCGCTCCCTGGTATTTATAATTCAGATGTTATATAAAAAGATATATAGATAAGAAAATAAACATCCTTATTAATATTATAAATCGAAAGCAACTCTGTCTGTCTGTCACGCTTTCACGTTAAAACTACTACACCGATTTCAATGGAATTTGTGTGCACTTTTAATAGGAAGACAGGGTTGTATGGGAGAGAGTTGAAAGAGGATAAGAGAGGTTTTATAAAAGAACGATTAAACTTTTTTCTTTGGCATTTTTTGGTTTGATTATTGATTTTTTTTTATTTGGGAAAAGACCTGCAACTTCTCCCGCGTGTTATAGGGACAAACGCAGACGAAGTTGCGGGTCCAGCTAGTATAGTATATATATATAATTACTATTGTTACTAATAAGTCTTTAAACAATTCCTAACAATTCTATGTTCTCAAAGTAATCCATGCAGATTATACTAAACTAAATGTTAATTAAATTGAAGCTCAACTTAAACAGATTCTAATTAAATCAAATCCATATAATAGTAAATAAGAACGGATTGTTTGTGATTGTTGTTTGATTATCTTAAAGTTATTTGGTAAGAGTTTTAAAGCTTGAATTTAAATTACTTAACTGTGCTAGAAACTTAAAGAAATTTGTATTATTTTGATCAAAGTTTTAATATATTCCGAGAGTTTTATGATACCTACAGTTTTATTGCTATCAGTTGATTTTTGTTGATTCGTCCGAGAACTTGAACCCGCTACTATCGGAATTAAAGCGGCGTGCGAAACCGCTAGACCATCGAGGCCATCAAATATACGTGCAGACTAACTATAAACCAGTTTTAAGGTAAATATTGGACTTGTGCAGTGACGCATGGAGCGCCCATGTTGAGTTAAGCCTCATTTGAGTGCTAGATTGGTTTACGTACTTTCCTTCCATATTTGACCTAGGGCCCACCCTGTCCTAGTATAAACATCACTTGTGTTCATATCGTAGTACATAAAATTGCCCCAGAGTTATGTTGTGGTTAATACCTGGTGTAACAACTACGAGTTTTTAATCTGATTTCATCCTTATTCTTTTTTTAATGTAATAAGAATGATAAGCCGCAGCCTCGGTGATCTAGCGGTTTATCACACCGCATCATATTCGATGGTAGCGGGTTCGATTCCTCGCACGGTGCAAACATTTTGTATTCATAATTATAGGTAGGACCTGGGTGTTTACCATGTATATGTATATATTTACAAATAAAATGTATTTAAGTATTCGTATCAGTTCTTTAGCACCCGTATTGTAGTTGTAGTGGTAAAATAATTTAGAAGTAATGTGAGGAAAGATAGACCTACAAAGACCTTTTTGTGTATACTAGTTATTTGTATAGCAAAAGCGGTATTTTCTTGAGAAACAGTAGTTTCAGTTTCTAAGATAACGGTGTGTGGCGGTATTAGCCACGCTCACAGTGTAATCCCTAAAGTTAAGATCTAGATGCAGAGAATCCAGTAAAGCAAGATTATCATTAGAAAAATGTCACAGAATAAACAAGTAGTTATTAGAAATAAAGCGTAATATCTTGGCATCGAACTCGCATACTTGTTTTTTGTTTGGAGTTGTAGGATTTTATTTGTAGCAGCTAGCTGAGCCCGCAAATTCATTCTCATTGTATTATAATAACAATATGTGATATAACAATAGGTCATAGCATTAAATATTCAATGAAGCTTATCGTAATATCTAATAGAAAAGTTCCCAAATTGTTTAACCAATTTGGGAACTTTTCTATTATTTCATTTCTAAAATAATCGCACAGACAAACACGTAAAAAGTCTATCAGTCAGATTTAGATATACTATATTAATTCAGTAATTACATTGTTAACTGCTCAATATATCTTTCGTATATAGATAGCTATGAGTTACATTTTTACGATATATGTATAGATAAAATCACATAATCCAACCTAAAACAAGTATGTGACGACCACGGTGGTCTAGCTGTTTTGCACATCGCTTGGTCGCGGATTTGATTCCTCACACGGAACAAACATTTGAGACTTGTCGGTTCTGGGTGTTTGTTTATTCGTTTAGAAGAAACGCAGACTACAATATACAGTCTAAATTGTAGTCATCAAAGTTCCTACAAAGAACGTAATAGTAATTTACAAGTTATAGCGACAGGCCAGACTTTGATGTGGTAACTCTTTTATTCTTAGATGTTCTGTAAATTTTCAATTTACCATAAAATGACATTATGTACTCGTATTTTTTATAACAGAAATGTGTACGCTATTAATTGAATCTGACGGCGCTTGTTGATTGTAATGTTGCTTGTAAATACTCACTAATAGGTATCGGTAAAGCATTTTCTGAGTTTCTCCAGTACAGAAAAATCTCGATTATTTTTTAAATATATTCACATTGTACACAGAACGTTAACAAATTAAAACAGTATAACATGTAGGTAGCTTTGTGTGATGATAATGGTAACTTTATATAAATATACCGTAGAGTCATAGCCACAGAGAATAAAAAAAATTGTTTTTCTTGTCATCGTGAAATGTGACAATTTATTTATATGAACAACTATTGGAATTAATTGGAAATATGGCCCCGAAGCCAAAAGAGAAGAAACGACCTGAAATGGGAAAAGATTATTCACTTCCAAAAGTAGGTATTAGAGAACTAGCTGCTATGCAAGGGGCTACAACTTCCAGAGAACCCGCTCTTCCTATTTCAGCGGAAGCGACTGCTAGGGTACCGAGAAAGAAAAGATGTTGGAAGTACCTTTATGATAGAGAAAACAAAACATTTTGTGAAAGAACATGTAAAAGTTGGCTAGCCATAGTGTCTTATTCTATTATGTATATTCTATTCTTGAGCACATATACTTTAATATTTCTTTTTGGAAGTCTAACAGCTCTAAAATATACTACTGATTACCATGTTATCGATAAAGCAGAACTTCTGACTTATTCCGAAAATGGCATAGGACTATCGGCGACTCCCGCATCAGAGAATAGTGTTCCTTTAATTTGGTATAGAAGCGGAAAGACGGAAGATTACAAAAAGTATATTAGTGCTCTTGATAGACTGCTACAGAAGAATCGTAGAAAAAGAGAAGTTAATAATACAGATTTGGGACCTTGTGCATATACCCCATATGGTTTTGGTGATAAACCTTGCATTATAATAAAGATAAATAAACAATTGAAATGGAAAGGAAGGCCTTTAGAAGTAGATTCGCCTCAAGCAAGTAATGCTCCAGCTGAAGTAAAGGAATGGTTGAAGACGGATAATAAGAAGTTATGGCTGCACTGCAGCGGTTATCACTCGTACGATAAAGAACATGTTGGTTTTATAAAATATTACCCAGATCCACCGGGGTTTGACCCAGATATATTTCCCTTAGAGATGCAAAGCAATTCTCCACTAGTTGCTATGCAAATATCTAATTTTACAGTGGGTATTTCGTTGGCAATTCAATGCAAGCTTTGGTATGACAAAGGACCGTCTTCTATCGAATTTGTATTGTATGTAGCTCCTGATGTAAGGATAGAAATTTCCTCGTAATATAATCTGAATTTGCAAAGTAGTATGCATAATAATATAGTGATTAAATATGCGTGATTTTGATGTTTTATTTTAAAAAATCTGGATAAGAAATAAGCGGACAGCTCACCTGATGGAAGTTGTTAATTGTCGCCATAGATATTAGATTTTACGGAGATCATTAGGTACATACTGGCCAAATTAATTCAACGTTACAAACGCTTGCTACTGATAATCAGAGTTCTGTATTTTACTTTTCAGAGTACCTTAGGACGTAGGTATATTTGTAATCTATAATGCGCCGCTTACTAATTTCTCAGTATGCCTTATGATTGGCTGGTAGAGAACTGGTAGAGGTACTTTCATCATATGTACATTTACATATTGTATTTGTGCATTGTAGTTTCAATGAATAAATTAATTAAAGGCTTCGAGTCTCTATTCTGTACAGAAGAATTTAGCCTCCAATTTTAACACAAAGAAATGCGTATGATGCAGAAAATATATACAAATTCATCTGTAATAACTATTTCCTACACAAGCTCTCACTATGTTTTAAATCTTATCGACATGTACCCATTAGTTTCCAATTGTTAAGTTACACGAATAACCTGTATAATATTACTACACGTAAATATACAAGACAAATTAGATTCTTATAAACAGATAAATCTAAATACAATTCAGTGGGATCCAACGTACAGAGACCACTATAGTAAGATCTGCCATTAATCGTATTGGTACTGACATTTGTATAGAAGCTGTACAAAGAGTTTATAGTTACCAGAGACCCAATTGTATTGGATATACAGTGATGGATAGGGTTGTATTGAATGTGATATAACATTTATTTTCTAACAAAAAACCGTAACATTTCTTATGTACATATGTTTGTATTAATAAGCAATATATTATATATAATGAAACACTTTATTTGTGAGTGGGTTACAACTACATAGACCATGTAGTGGCGTTTCCTCTTCAGCTTGACAAAATGTGCAGGTTTTTGTTGAGCGAAGTCTACGTTTGCCATGTGTTTATTCAATTTGCAATGTCCAGTGCATATATTGTGACGGTGCACATATTCCTAGTCATGTGCACCATATACAATATATTTGTTTTTACTTAATAGTTGTAGTCTATTGGAGCACCTATTGGTTCAAGTACCCCATTATTAGGGCTTTTGCATGTACTAATCCTGGCATATTTATGGGACTTAATTTAGTACAAATATAATTTCATAATTTATTATCGATCATCAATTTGCTCGGGTTGATATATAAATTATAAAGTATATATATTTTTTTTATGACCTTATTGTTATTATGATTATGATTATTAATGTATGTATTGCATACGTTTATTCCTTGGTGAGTGCATTGGTATTGTACTGTAATACTCAACCAGAGCATGTAATTAATTTATAAATAATATAATAAATAAATAAATAAAATATAAATGATTGTATTCAAATCTTGAATACAATCAAATCAATATTGTAAAATCATTTGTTAAAATTAAGTACTTATTTTACACAATGAAAAAGAAAATGTTTATTCCCTTTAAATATGATTAACCTACAACGTTTGATCACACCAACACCCATAACGCTTAGTGGAAATGACAAGGAAATACCATTAGATCTGACTGCGGTCTGCGGTGTAGTTATATATGATAGCTATAGCCAAATTTAGGTCATCTCGACGCAAAATAAAGACTATTTGAAATCTATCTTTTCGTTTCTTTGGAATCAATAGTGGCCTAACGTTTTGTTATTTCAACTTGTGCCATATCATATCAAAACTTTGTATTGTTTTATATTTTTAATTGACCGTCTTTTAGGATGGAAACATCGGGTCAAAAATTAATCCAACTAAGAGTTTTCCAGGAGGGACAACGTAGAGAACAATTAAACAGGATACATTTCTAGTAATGGGGATCCATTCGCCATTACACATAATCGGAAGTAAAACGAGCGATCACCGAGCCCGTATAGCGGTCTAGGGTTCGCATGGTACAAACATTTGTATTTAGGAGTATGATTGTTTGTGTCGGCCTGGAAGTTTTCTGTGTATTACGTATGTATTCACAAAAAATATTTGAGTTTGTTATCTAGTACCTATAATACAAGCTCTGGCTTACCTTTTGTGATTGCGTTGTGTGAATTGTCAAAAAAAAAATGCTCTTGAGGATTCCATTCATAATTGCATTTAGGTTAAAACAAGTATTTCAAATAAAATTAGATCGTTTTGGACTCGTACTAATCACAGAAGGTAATATAAATACAAGTATGTTAACATAAATTATTAGGTACCTTTGACAAGAGCAATAATTTATAAAACCTGTACCTACTGGTACTGGTAAAGTCAGAATACCAAATATGGCTGCAGTTAATGATATTTATGAACCAACTTGCTACTAGAATAGTAGATATTACTTATTACTTTTTTTTTATAAAATAATATCTCATAACAATTCACTCTCTTTTTTTTCGTACTAATCTATTGCTGTTTGCCGCAGCTGGCCGTTACAGGTTCACAGGATGATAGGCGAGTGCAGATGGCATTCCAAACCCGCAGAACTTATGGAGCAGCTGAAGGCCAACTTCCGCCTGACGGATACGAATTTACTTCTCTTAACTAGCACATCTTCGATAAGTTGTAATTGAAGGTATATTATATAACATACATATTATTGGAATACCTATATATGTTACTAGTTGACCAAGCAAGCGTTGTTTTTCCATACAAATTAATACCGCTATTAAAAATAGGGGTCAGTGGTACAACGGTGAAAATTTCAGATGTATGTGTATTTTCAAAGATAAATCATAAAATAAAATAAATATATTATTGTGAAATACATAATATAGGGGTGCGTGCCACACCCACCCACCTACCCCTATATTATTTATTTCACATATTAACATTGAGGAATATGAAAAATAAATGTTGGCCGATTCTCAGACCTATCTGATATGCACCCAACATTTCATAAAAATTGGTTTCAAAAAAGCCGTTACGAGAATTTTATATACTCACTAGCTGCGCTTGCGACTTCGTGGTCGTAGAATAATAACCTTCGATAACATTATTAATTATTTTACAAATAAGACACATATGAAAAATACTTTAATAAGCTATTTATTTATATTTAATGAATAATTTAAAAAATAAGTTTAAAGCTTCTAGCTTTAAAAATGACGATACGTCCATACAACCTTTCATTTCCCATTTCAACCCCTTACAACACTTTTTTTGCATTAAATAATAGCCTATTTCTTTTCTCTGGGTATCTGTGTTCCAAATTTCATTTGAATCGGTTCATAAAAATAGTTTTGGCGTGATAGGGTGACAGACAGACAGATAGACAACGTTACTTTCACATATATAATATAAGGATTATATGGATTTATGTTTGTAATAATTCCTTACAATTTATATTTGTTGTGTCTCATCATGAACATACTTATAGGCAAGGCAAGTATAATAATAGTCCTATTTGCTACAAACATTGGATGACTTACAATTCACCTCATAATAAAATAGATACGATATTGCGATGTTGTGTGGCATCATGGTACCGTTTAATTCGGCTCGCTGCGGGCATCTCATTCAATTACTTGTGACAACGAGATCATTACAGAGACAAATGAAATTTTCTCAATGGGGTCACAGATGAAACAACTGCCCGATGGCTTTTATAATTTTGCGGTTTCCTATATTAGCTTTATCTTGTGACTTCACTCGCTAAGTAACTCTCACTAATTATATAATTTAGAACAGAGTAATATTTTTTTATTAGATTAGAAGTTTCTTGTCAATTTGCTTTAAAATTATTAAATTTAATTATTTAATTCTATTTATTTCTGGTAAAAAAATATGACTCAAAATAATAATGGTTCAAAATGAGATCCCGATTGCGACTAAACAAAATTACTAAGCATAATTATTTCAGTTATGTTTTTTTACTTAGCTAACTTTTTATCAATTTAGAGGCCTATGTATGTATGTATACTATTTATAAAAAACATGTAATAAAGTTTTCGTGATTGTAACAATAATATAGTCTTCGGTACTATTCTGTAACCAATCTCTTATACTGTTTTTAAAGAACCTTGAGTCTTTTTTTTTATTAAATTGTATTGTCACAGATCGGAGTCAAAATTTTTCTGTTGTTAAAAGAGGTAAAAGTCAAATGCAAGTTTACACCAATAGGTAGCAGATAGCTACTCATAGACGTAAATTACCATAGAGAGAAGAACTTCTTAGTATTCCATGGATTCACCGTGCAGGTGCTGGGTCCATCATGTGACAGAGAGGGATACCCGAGGATTCGAGCAGTTCCCGGGACTTGAACCGGGTGTAGGTTTAAGGGGCCCCTCTGCCGATGTACGTCAACTTTACCACTCGTGTTTCTCTCCCTGCCCAGCCAAATCTGGTATGAGCTTGCTAGTGCTGCTTTAGATGCATCTTCTAGTATAGAACGTACTGTAGAAACTTCTAGAAAGACCAAGACCTTTTTGAAAACCATTGTGGTTAATTCCTAGCGAATTTCTCCGATGCGCTAACTGACCTAACTTCATGCTCGTCCTATACTGGTGCATCGCCATCGTATACTGTTAGCGCAGGCGGGTGCACTATTCTATTATCATCCATTAAAAAACAATATAGCATTCAAATATTGGCATATTAATTAACTGTTTTGTCATTTTAGATATTTTGGAGGGTTAGATTAGATATTCAAAAGTAATGATATTAAAGGTTAGATAATTTGCTAAATACATATTTATAAATATCGAAGAGGTTTCATTAATGATATACAATATTTACGCAATAATTTATTGATAATCTAATAATTCAATGATTACCTAATAATTATTTATTTCACACTATTTTAATTAAATATTAAGTAGTGAAGACAAAACATTCCATTGTCCAGCCTTTCTTAAAGATGGATAATTATAATAAATCTGCACAGTTATAACATAATATTATGTAAATATTTCAATTGGTTTCATATTTAAAATTTATATACAGTAATCGTACAAGACTAAATTATATAATAAGAATTAAATATCTAATTATATTTACCATTATATATTTGTTAGATGTTTGGTTAAATTTTCTTTTATTTTTAATTTTAGCAGCAATATATTAACAATGATAGAAATTTCCTTTTCTTAACTGATGATATATAACTTCTCTAACAAAATAATTTACTTTTTAATAATTAATCATATCATATGCGGAATGAACAATATTAATTCCATTGATCAATTACTGACCCTTTTTTATTAATTACGTCAAATTTCAGAAAATGTATTCAACGTATATAACCGAATATACCTTTTTCAGATATTACAATTAGATATTTATTCTTATCCTAATATCAATTGTATGGTTTGTTTACTATCATTAATATATTATGTATTTACGTACAACGTATTAAGGTATTTACAGCCGCTACTCCAATAAATTGAGGCGGTACCACCGCAATATATGCTGTAACTCGTTGGTCTTCTATTTATATTGCAACAGAATTTATTCTGATTATATTCTTTTTAATATACGTACTCGTAAAATGGATCTAATTTCACCAGTTTTCAATATGTAAAGCAACTCATAAAATACTCTTGTATTATAAATGCAAATAGTGAACTTATATTTGCTACTTTTTATCCAATTTTGAATTTACCCCTGCCATAGCTGCGGGAAAGCACCAGTGTGCATTGGTGTATTATGGTTCTGTTTATATAAAATCAAGTTTGTTGAAAAAAGTAAGATATACGTGCGTTAACACACTGGGCTCTATTACGCCCTCGTCTCCGCCTTGTCTGTTTTAACCATCATAACGCACTTATATCGTACTATACTATGTATGGCGCGTGATGTCTATATATACATTCTCGAGTACGTTAATAGTACATAATATATCAATGTTTTCTATACTATTATAAATTTATTGGCACTAACTATGTCTATCACATTGGGACCTTGCAGAGAATCGTTCGATAACATAGGCCAAGAATAATTAATTTTAACAAGCGATGTAGTAATACTATTCGACGAACATCCTTACAGTAAATAAAAGATAGCGTAAATTTATCTCTACTGCATAGAAAATAGAATATTTATTTCTTTGATTTGTTCCTTATACAATTAGTGACTATTGAAAATAGTAAGCTCTAATCAATAATAACAGTTCTAGAGAAAATTATTTATAGGAAACTACCTATTATTTTAATTTTAAATTTATTCGCTATTGATGTTCATTTTCGCAATTGACATTATTATGATATAAAAGCGATTTTTCTGTAATGAGAATGTGTTACCTCTGGATTGTCGTTTACTTGCGGCTTGTTTTGACCATCTACAAAACCGGTAGTAAGCTACTACAATAATTTATGAGTGAATGAAACCTTACGTCATCATTCATTCATATAATCATTCGTAAATTATTTTTACCTATAAGCGAGCAATCAACATTGATTAATAAAAAGTTAATGAAGTAAAATTTATCTGATCTCTATGTACTTGTTTCCCTAGAATATCTAGTTTTAGTTTAATTTATATTATGTAGGAACAGAAGCAGTAAGCATTAGTAATATATGTATTTTTGTCCGCTACACCAATCCCGTACAGTTTTGCTATATTTACTTGTAGGCTTTATCAAAAATAGAAGGTTTAGAGTAATATATATATATATCACAAAATATATTCATTGTTGCAACAATATAATTTTGTTTTCAACACCATTGCTTCAGACACTACATATACCTATTTAAATTTCACTCAGGTACGTAGTTACTACGAGTGTGAAATCGCCTAATTAAAACCCGAAAATAAAATTTAATAAATTTAAAATAAATATCATCTACTTAATTGCTTATTAATTAGTAATAAATTCAGTTTTTTTGTTTCTAACCAGAAATATATTTAATTTCAGTGAACTGTTCTATATACAAAGTAATAAAACTAGTGTATTAATATTAGTATTTAAATAACAATTTTCTTTTCAATGGCGTTGAAAACAAAAATTATCTATTAGGCCTGAAACCACATCGATCTGGACCACTGTAGAAGAGGTATTCATTTAATTGTAAAACGTATAGAGATAACATTCATAGACAGAGTAAATAAATTTTATACTTATTAAATTTCAATATTCTAATACTTGAGTAACACAGAAACAATATTATAAAGTATATTAATAAAACGATATTATAAAGCAAACCGTATGTAAAGTATATAATAAAATAAGCCACATCAGACATCATACAATACAAACAACGTTTCTTACCAATATTATCAGCGATATAGCCTGAAACACTTAAATTCAGTCGATAAAATCCTATTAAACTTACGATGACATATAGCAAACTTAATACTAAAATGCAATAACCCAAAAATTATAGATTTTGGAAAATCATCTTTAAAATTAAAGATTAAAGCCGATTTCACATAATTTGAAATTTTGGAGTTAGTCCACTTTATTAATAAGCATGTAAAATATATATATTTTACAGCATGCTATGTATATAATATAATAGCTACTGACACATTTATAGACATATGTAATAAAATATGTTTATCCAACAAGTTAACCAGATAGAATTTGAAAACAGCTAAACAATGAAAATATTAGAGTCTAATATAGAGTATAGAATTAAGCTTTTTTTTAAAGATAGTCGCTCTGATTATGATAAATGTGAACAATGAGCTTTTGAAAAATCTATTTTGTACATAGATGTATAAATTCAAACTATCGAACAAGTTACGTACATCAAGTGTTTTCGCTATATTAACTATGTATATTTGTAAATATTTAATCGGTCCATAAAAGAATTGAGAAGATGAACAAACTAATAATGTTCTTTATACAGAAAATGTTGGAAATTATCTTATTAAACTACAGCTAAAATCTTCTATTACACAAACGAATACACCTATAAATAATATCATTACTCTTAATAATGGACGAACACATATCATTCGAGCGAATGCAGTCTACTTAGACGATCGTAATTAAGTCATTGCTTTCTTGTGAACTTATCTTATAAATCGACGTAAATGCAATTTCTAAAACACATTAAGTGCACTTCCACACATAGTTATTAATATTAATTTTCGAAAAATCGCCAATCTCAGAACACATAAATAGCTAGACATAATCTTAATACCTTTGATCATTAACGAATAAAGTCCACTTGTAAGGCAGTGCACGAAATGCGTGAAACGCTGAAATTGAATATATCCAAAACACGCAAACTCATATTTGGGTAAACACAATGTGCATAGGTACAGTAATATAATAATAATATAAACGGTAACAACTCCTGATTCAATCCCTTGAGATCACGATTCTGCTTTTCAGTTAAAACGATAAATCACATTTTAATAGGCTTCACTAGATTTCTATGCAATCTCTTAATATTAAAGTCACTTCTAATAGTCCTTCATAAAAGCTCCACGTAACTACACATTTGGCCTTTGGGCATAATTGTTCTATCACTGATTATGATTTTGCCATTCAGAAATACCCCAACACTTTCAAATACGTAGTTTAAAGCCACATACTCTTGGATAAATTTTGTGTCTCTCCTGCAACTTTTCTTCGACATTTGGTCATATAAGATTTTTAATCTTTCTCTTAGGTACATATCATTATCAATTGAACAGCATCCTGAATTTTATATACCAATTAGTATTTCTCCCACCATTCAATATGTAAAACATTTAGTCTTATCAAGCTGATAAAGACCTTAAAAATTGTATACTCTTGCCAATATTAGATGGAATTCCTCATATACCCCAAGTAGCCAAAACAATCCTCAAATGTATAGGCACGTTAAAACGGTCATTCCTAAAATTATTAACATATTTGGTGAACTTAAGAATCCTCGATTCCAACTGCAGTCTAGATCTCGTATTAAAACCTGCAAAAAGGTAATTATTTATTAATAATGTCCCTGGAGAATCCACAGCATTATCTAGCAATCTTCAAGCTAACCAGAACTTATGTTATGGGGACGAGACAACTGATAAAAATACTTGCATTTTCACATGACTTTTTGCAATTGGGTGTTTTCTATGTATATTATGCATGTAGGAGTACTACATGCATAATATATATAGAAAACACCCAAACCTATACAAACGATCATACTCATAAATACAAATGCTTGTATCGTGAAAAAGTTGTATCGTTATAGCTCGCGACAATCAAAATTAAGGCGTGCTAAACTGCTAGACCACCGAGACCGTCAATTATACTGTTATATGGTAATCGTGTTTTATTTTAACTGAGAAATATAGTGCGTGAAACTTACATCATTAAGAGTTCTGTTATCATAATACGGACACGTCGCTAATCTGACGTCATCTCGCGTCGCGACGCAATTGAATGGACTGCTGCAAATGTACTGTCTTCTCTTCCGGTCCCAAGGTTCTATCCACCTGTGAATAAATGTGCAATGTTATGAGATATATTTATGGACTTTTTAAGAATGGTCAAGGTTATAGAATTATGTAGAATATTAAAAGATAAATTGATTACGGGTATCTGATCTAGTCAAATGTTACATGATTTTCACAATTCAATTGCTATTACAAATGAGACAAGACAAGATAATCACGATAATAAATATTAAATTATATGTTACATATTATAAATAGGAAAGACGTGAGTTTTTATTTAAATTGTTAATAAAAACAATTCACCTATTATAAAAATTATTTCAACTGTACAAAATTTATTAGTAATATATTTTATTAAAAAAATTGAGAATATCCTATACTAATTACACTTCATGTACGCGGTATATCTAATTCTCGTGTCACAGTGTTAGTTGTCATATTGCTCCAAAACGGCTTATCGAGTTTGATGTAATTTTATATGTAGATATATTAAGAATACTTTGGTATCTATTATTACATCCCTAAGTGATAAGAGTGGCTCACTCTAAATAAGTTCTTTTTTTGACATATGTATATTATCATTTGTCATTTAAATCATTAACTCCTATTAAATAGCGACTTTAATTTCTATGGCAAATCAACGTTTTCCGGGACAGTTAATAAAGTTTTATTAAAAAAGTACATTACCCTATGCCACAGTCGCATACCAAAGGATTGCCAGCGACAAGAATATCTTCTAAGAATAAACCATTTGCTCCAGGCCACGCCCTCTGTGTAGGATTTGCGACTTTGGTCAAATAATTGGATCTGACGTCTAACGTGAGTCTTCTAACACGGCCCGGACTAAAGAACACTTCACTGGTAATCTCTTCTATACTCGTATTGAACACGGTTAATCTAAGATGCTTTGCATGAACACCCTGGAATTAAATAAACTTTGTTATTAATTAAAATTTATTACTTGGAAGTTTCATTTGATATGAAGTCACAATAGCATTTACTAATTTAGGATAAATAAATAATAATAATAAACTAAACATAAATGCACACGTAATAGAATAGGTAGTTTTAATAAAATTATCAATAATTAAGTATTTAATTACAAAAGGCAAACGGAATTTGTAATGTTTAAATAATTAATAGATATATTAACCCTTAGTGTGATAGATACTTGAAACATTGAATATCGGTTTCTTTTTTGATCATTTCTTAGGTTGGAGATATCTCAACACTAAGAAATAATGATTACCTAATTTTCTCAAAATTTAAGATAGCAGATAAAAACAATCTTATATTATTCATTCACTAAAATAAAATTGCAATAATCAGTATTTTTTTCTCCAAGTAAGACAAGACTCCAAGACTCCAAGCACGTTGTCTGCATATACAGAAAGAAGAAAATTTATGCTGACCTCAAAATTACAAACTTACAAATCTGAGAGAGATACAATCTAGAGAGTCATTACGTCAATGCTTTAAACAATCAAATATCCTCACCGTTGCCTCACAGTACATTCTATGAAAATATTATGTATACAAGGAAAAACTTAGATAGTTTCAAGAAACTTAAAGACTGTACAAGTAGAAACTTACGCAATAAAAATAAGCTAATTTTACCGAAATGCCGTCTACACAAAGTTAGTAATTCATTTTATGGTAATTGCGTAAGATTCTATAATAAACTGCCAGAGTCTACGCTAAATCTTACAGAGAGGCAATTCAAATCTTATATTAAACAAATGTTATGTAAAAAAGCCTATTATAAGATAGATGAATTTATAGATGATAGCAATATATAGCAAGAATAAGTTTATTTGCGGACAACGTTATAATTTTAATTTTCATACTGCTTTCTTGATATATGATAGCGTAGCGGCTTTTGTATTGATTGCCGCATGCATCCTTATGTAAAGTGCGAATACTGTAACTACCATATAGTAATTTTTGTAGCTGTGACGTGGTCGTGTGGAATGAGTAGTCATGCTCACTAAAATGTCCAGACATGTGGCGGCGTGGTGGGCCGGATCAATGTGAAATATGGTCGAGCGCAGTGAAGCTGGCTCATCCGTCATACTCATGAACGAGTGCTGCTTGTAGGGACTGGTCTGCTCTTATCACTACGACTGATTTAATCTTATTGCATGATTATATTTGACCCAAAAAATTAGTGCTTGTTGGTAGTTTGTATTCACACGTTTCGACTTGTAAATGTAAACTTACAAGGATTATTTAAAAGAGCAACACACAAGTTTCTTGCTCGTTCTTCTTGTGATGAGACAGCTTTCCGAACGAGTGGTAGATAAAAAACAAATTGTTATGACTATTCAAAAGTGCTTAAATTTTTATTTGAATAAATGATTTTCTATTCTATTCTATTCTATTCTGTCACGTGGTGTCAATAAATTTCTGATATTATTCATTACAAAAAATTGAAATATTCAGTGATTTTTTCTTCAAGTAAGACGTAGCTACAGTACGTCGCTTGCATCTTAACCAAGAAGAAAATTTTAAGCCGTGACAAAAAAATACAAGTCTATAATGTAAATATAAACATGTACTTACAAGTAACAGATATGGTGACAAATACTGAAGTGCACGACCAGTTATAGTAATGTTGTTCAGTTTGCATGGCAATTGGGCTTGCAGTTCCCTTCCAAATTCCACACCACCGTAGTCAATATCTATTAGTAGATTCTCCAATGCTGCATTGTAACTTAGCATTCTTGGCACATTGAATTCTCTAACTGTTGAGAATGCGGTGATTTTTAGGGTCCTTAATCCATACATTTTGCTGAAGACACCATGCTGTAATAACACAATTGTCATAAATTTATTACTGTTGATACTGGCGAGGAAACTGATGCACACATAAAAACAGTATATAGGTATAATGATAAGATGATACAAATTCGAAACGTTACGTGATGTTCCTTCTAAGTTTATGAGTGTTAGACCTACAATGAGATTCACAGCGGGTTTTGCATATTAGTTTATACATATTTAAAATAAAGTATTCTTTTATTGATTGTTTTTTAAATACTTCTTTACTTGCGGTCATACATAGGTGCAGTGTAATGTGCAAGGAGAAACATATTATATTTGAACTGAAGAAAATTCTAAGAAAATCACTTCAAATATACTATGATTCAAGTGAATAAAATCCTACAGTGACGAAAATTCTAAATATAGCGTTTTCAACGTGAAGGGACTCTTAGAAATATATCAGTGTATAAATCCTAGAAGTCTTAAAAGACTACCTACATTAACAATGCATAATATCCAATAGAAAGTTACCTCAAGAATTCTCACACGAAGTTTAGTGACATCCAGATATTCAAGTCGTTGTGATATTCCATACAAGCTGGTGTTCATCAGTGCCGTAATAGGATTTCCGGATAATGAGAGCCATCGCAGGTCAGTGAGAGAATGTGTTGCCTAAAATAAATATTAATAAATTACTGATATTGACAATATTCATGATATGTTAGAACATTACACAGTTTTGTTGCTAACGACGATGCTCAAACAAAAGATATGATTTAACATATGTTAAAAAAGTTACTGCAAAATTATTGGGCTATAAAAGTAATATGTACCTATGTATGTAAAGCGAAAATGTCTGTCTGTTTATTACATTTTCTCTATAAAACGGTTAAACGGACATTGATAAAATTTGATATAAATTATGACGGGGACATAGACTGTCTTTTAAAACAAAAAAAGTAATAGTCATTCAGCTATAGTGAAATACTAGATTTTTTAAAACTATTATAGAACACACACTTTCAAGAATCCTCAGTTAATCGAAACCATAAAAACAAAGTTTATAAATATTTTATTACCCATAAAAATATTAAAGATTGATAAATTCTAATCTAGGAAGGAGAATAACATTAGTGAGTTACAAAAATAAATCTTTAATAATATTAATATAATTAAGTGAGCTTACCACTGGAACAGTAGTGAAGTCGTTGTAGGAAAGATCCAGAACTCTTAGACGTGTGAGATTAGCGGTGGAATCCGGCGGGATTGATGGCAAATTATTATATGACAGGTCCAGACTCTTCAACTTTGTTAGAGGCATCAAAGGCACCTGAAAAAAACATATAAAATTATGGTAATATTAATTTCCTACAAACGATTATATAAAATATATATGGATATTCTTGGACTCAGAAACCCATTATCTTGTCCTAAACTACTAGATAACTGATAATAAAATATAGGTATAATGAAATAGGCGAGCAGCGCAGGACAGATCGTCTTGGAAATCCAAATTCGAATTCAAAATTTGAATTTTAATTTGGTTAACGCCATACAATACAAAAAATACTATTAATACTAACTGAAACATATTAAAAGTTATTTTTACTTACAGATAGCAAGCTAACATTCTTCAGTCCTAAATGCAAAAGTCTCCTTTCCAGTCCTTTAAAGACATTGTTTCCCTTATCGCCGCCGTTGAATGGCGAATTGTTGCTTAAGTCCAACCAGCGAAGTCTTGGCAATGCAGCAAACGATCCAGTCTCAACGCGTACCAAGTGATTATTTGATAGATCTAACCACGCTAATGACTGTAAAGTGGAAAATACCAAATATAAAATCTATACTAATTACTTAAAATATAAAATTCTCGTGTAGCGGTGTTAGTTGCCCAACACCTACGTAAGGTCTTTAAAGTGCAACACGCGAGTTTCTTACTCATTCTTCTTGTGATGAGACAGCTTTCCGAATGAGCGGCAGATTAAAAAGGATAACAATGACTATTCAATAGCGCTTAAATAATTTCAATTCTTTATTTGAAGGATTTTCTATTCTATTATTTTCCTCCGAAACTTCTTTAGGTTCCGATTTTTATGAAATTTTGTGTGCATATCGTCAACATTTTTTTTTTATACCGATTAATGATAAGGGTGGCCAAACCCAAAATATATTTTTTTCATTTATTATGATTTAGTATTGAAAAATGCATAGGTACACTGTCTAAACAGCTAAAGAAAATTGAAGCGTCTGTTTGTAATTGAAAAGAAAATACGGCACTTACATCAAAATTTAATTATAAAATGTTTTGTCTGTCTATTTATACTTTGCTGTAGTCTAAAAAGACTGAACCGTTTTTAACAGGACTTTCAGCCACAGATAGCTAATGTTATAATGAGTAACTTAGGCTGGATACTTTTATTTAATTAAGTGAGCAGAAGAAGGTAATAGACAGATACTTATTTAAATTAGAAAGTTGTCTCTAGTATAATTTTAAAATTCTATTATAAGTATTTAAGAATGGCATTACATGAGCAACGTTAGTATTAACTACACGAACTACGTCTATTGAATAAAAAAACCATGCATCCAACAATCTACCTTGTATAGTATATTCTGCGGGTATTGCTTTTTTTGGTGGAAAACTCTGGTGTGATCTCTCCTAGCGGTGTGGTACATGTACTCGTCGCTGTAGTCGGGTTCTTCTGGCCAGTATTCGCCCTGGTCTGGGCTCTGTGACATGCGGGCACGTTAGCGTCTAGCTATACTCACACGGTCCAATCAATACGTTATCAACTTACTAAAGGGTTGAAATACACGTATGGGTAGATATGATTTACATATTTATACTATAAAATAGCTTTTTCAATAAGCAGCTGTGCAGTTCGATAAACCAGATTGGCTATGATTTTTGGCAAACAAGCTGATACATGAGGTTTAAGCAATGTAGTGACAGCCGTATACAGACGGGTACTGCTTGTGGGGACTGGTCTGTTTGGGATACGGCCACTGAGATAAAAATGCAATATCATAGGCTGATGGTCGCTACATTATTCATAATTTAATTTGAAAATGAATCTGTATTTTTGAAATCATATACAAGCTCATTTTAAAAGATTATGTGCTGAGGTTCTTGTAAGTCCCATATATCTCGAAAGCATTATAGGTACATAGAAAGTAGATTATACATATCATAAGAGTCTGTAATAGACCTATATGAATAAAGGATATTTTGATTTGATAGATTTGAAATAGGAATAAGCATCACGGTTATCATCATGTCGTGTAATGTCTGTAATAATCATGGAATTTCACTGCCTAGGTGCATATATCTTTTCAATCCGGAACACAGCTAGGTAACGTAAACCGGTGAGATGTAAATATTCACGCAGATGCGATTGTATAAACATCTACCTTGGTAAATAGAGGATAAAGTACAAAATTAATTGCATGACATTTCGATTCAGTCCTTTGGGACTGAGTAGGGTTCATACAATATTTACCTACTTTCCTTCAGACCACTTCACACCATCAGCTTGTTTGCAATCAATATGTAATTATATTGGCATACGAATATTATGTAAAAATGAAATAACGTAATGATTAGGCTAATATAATAGGATAACTACAATGTTAGTACAACAATCACACAGGGCATTACTTTAGGAAAGATTTCAATGAGTTTGAAACATACTTGCATCTATAATACTCCTTAGATGTTCGTGATTTAATCATTATAATACTACTATAATTAATAGAGACATGTAAACATATGAACGGAGTGTGATGTAGGGCTGACAAATAGTACAGAATCTTATTCAATTTGAATCAATTAGTAATTTGACATGTTATGCTATTTGATATTTTTATGCGTATAATATTCTGAATTTTATAATTTGGTCAAGATATTAATAAAATATGTTTAAAATAAGATTCCAAATATATATATATACCTAAAGTAATTCAAATTGTTTTATATTACGCAATAAAAAGTAGACTTTCATTATTTTTTATTAATGAATTTTTTTTTGGCTTGGCAAAAAGCGCATTCGCCAAATACAAGTTTGGGTAACGTGAAGGCGGAGTTTGGGTAGGAATGGCTTTTACTTAATCAGGTAAATTAGGATAGAACTGAGAATTATATACTTGTCTATTATAGATGCAGATATATATTTATAGATTTACAGGTTAACGCAACTTCACAAACAGTTTTAATATTTACATCATAAAACTGGCAGCTCACATCGAATTGTTAGTTATAAGTCATCTATCAAACTTTATTTTCAACATAAATTTACGTATCAATATAAAACTTACCCTATATCTTTGTACTAAGTCTGACAATCCAATAGCAGGTATGGTGTTACCACTTAAGTCAAATTCAACTAAATTTGCTGCCGCTGCAGGTGATAAGGCGTTAGTTGGGACCCTTGATAAATAATTATCGGATAAATCCAATCTGTAATAAAAAAAACATTATTAATATTAGATTATGTCATAATGTGCTAGAGGTCCATCCCGGCTTCGTACGTGTGGACATTTGAGGGCTAAGATATATTATTGAGGTTGCCTATGTTACTCAGAGATAATATAGTACAAAAGACTTTATTAATTTTTTAATTTTATTATTTTTATGGTAATTATAATTTCAGTTCACATTCATCAAAAAATATTATTAAAATTACTAGACAAGATAAAACGTAATACAATAATATAAGAGATATTTGAAAAGTCATCATCATGACTTTAAAAATAAAATTATATTTTATATTTAGAAATAAATTGATAATGTTTAAATAAAAAAAGAAGTTAATGAAATTCAATAGAAGAAACTAACGTATTAACGAGTGACTATTAAAAACAAATTACCTCTCAAGTAGTGGTGATATAACTAAGTTGTCAACCAAGTTTCTCACTCGATTGTTTGATAAATCGAGTGACGTTAAAGACTGCATGTCATGGAATATCTCTACCGGCATCTCCGATATATAATTATGAGAGAGGTCTAAAAACTGAAAAATAAATGTGCTGTTAATAAAAATATTTAATATCATATGACGGCGATTAAAAAATACTGAAGAAATTTACTCTTAGTCATTAATTAGAAATGGTTCAAATATTATATTATAATAGTACTAACTGCGGCCTGCGCCCGCACAACTTCGTATGCATTACACTTGACAGTTATCATTATATTTTGCCAAATTTACATAATATCCTGTTAAATTATAGCATATGTGCTATTCTATGTATAAGCTATATTACTGTAAAGTTTCATCAAAATCCGTTCAGATTTTGCGTGAAAGAGAAAAATAAATAGAACATGGTAAGATTCCGTGATTTTTTCTATTTATATGTGCATACTGTATTTTAAATTTGACGCAGTCATTATGTATATATATACATAATGACTGCGTCAAATTTTTTAATTGTTAATTTATTTAGTTTTAACTGTAAGGTACTCTTGATAATAATTTAAAATGTGTTAGTATTAAACATAATCTATACATATAAATAAAATTGGAGTGTCTGTTTGTAATATTGAAATAATCGTTTTTTACTACAAGTATATTAGGTAATATAATACGGTACATACACCAAAATAACATTTTTTACAATTTTTGTCTGTCTGTCTGTTTGTCAGCCGGCAACTCTGAAATGGCTGGACCGATTTTGACGGGACTTTTATTGGCTGTACCTGATGTAATAAGAAGTAACTTAGGCTACTTTTATTTTAGAAAAATAAAGTTACTCCACGCGGACGAGTCGCGAGTACAGCTAGTAATACATAATATTATATGTTACCTGTAAAGATTTAACTCTCGCGAAACAATCGAACTCCAAATGGTATATATAATTGTGCGACAGATCAAGGTATTGCAGCATCATCATCGATCCGAACACTTCCCTGGTTATGTTTCTTAATAAATTGTGAGAGAGATAAAGTTCCGATAGCGTTAAGTCCACATGTCTGCAAATTAACAGAAATAATTTTCAGCCTATAAAATGTACAATATGTAATAGTAATAACAACTCTGGACAATTCGCTATCATATCACAAGCTAAGTAGAGAGTATTATGAACAACACAACTAATAGAAATGCTTAAATAAACACGACCAATGTAAACAATCATGTTCATGAATGTTTGTATCGTGTTAGGAATAGAACTTGCAACCATCGCAAGTAAGTCGGTGTGCTAAACTGCCAGGACCGTCAATATAACAATCTACAGTATTGGATAAGTACTTTTTTAATTATAATGTCATACGGTCCACCTTATGGCAATTCTTATATATACATGAATAACACCACAAATGCCATTTCATGTGCCACCCGTAACACCGCTCATGCATTGCCATTCTACGGCATCTCGGTGATGCCTTCGTATCCTGTAGTTTAAAGGCCTAATATCACACCTTCTTTTAAAAATTATATTTTGTCAATTTCCTTTAAGCTAATTTTATTCATGTAAACTTTATTAATTTGAAGGAATGTGATAATATATTTCAATACATATTTTAAGGTCGGCAACTCGCACGTGATAATCCTGGTGTTTCAGGCGTCCTGAGGCTACGGTAACCGTTTACCATTAGGTGGGTCGTATGCTTGTTTACCACCATAGTAGTATTAAAAAAAGAAATTTGGCCAAAGCCTTTAGCAACTTATAGGTAATAGTCGAGCCTATTATATAATAGCTATTTTTTGTCAACAACAAAAAAAATATTATCAACTCTACAAAAAGAAATTTCAGATTACCTGAAGTAATAGGGAGCTATATATGTAATATTGTTATGTGAGAAGTCCAACACCCTTATATTGACTGATACTGTTCCAAGACCTGTAATTGGAGACAAAAATATTAATAAGGAGCATACAAAATATTCAACACAAATATTTTCTACTAAAGTAGAGCTAGCTAAAATAACAAACACAATATCAACAATTCAGAGTCACCTTGTTCAAGAACTATGGACGAGTCAGATACCAAGCCTGTATTAAAATAATATGAACGCATGAAAATAGAAGAAAAAATTAGAACTGAATAAAATATAAGTAATAATAGAGATTTAGAAAATAAATTACACAGAACAGTATTAAAAAAATAAAAGAAAGTAAAATTGAAGATGCTGTCGAAGTAGTTAATATAATAATTAAAAGTAACAGATATGAATAATTTGCTTCTGTAACAGCAGATTAATACCAAGAAGAAAGTAAAAATGTCATTGAAATTTGATAATAGCTTAATAAAAATATTAAATATATAATTATTACGATATTAAAAAAAATATTATTATGTTTTAGTTTTATTATTTAGAATAAAATTGGTACTCACTCTGTGCTTTGGGTATAAAAAAGTTGTTGCTGAAGAAACTAGGTGCATTAGAATCTGTTAAAGCAATGATTCTGTTGTAAGATGCATTGACTTTTAGAGACGTTGCTGAACCAACTTGATCAAATATAGAGAACTTGAAGTTATCGAGACGGTTGAACGATACATCCAACCTAAAACAACAAATTTTTGATATACCTGTCCTTATTTAGTTTTGTAAAGTTAATAAATAGCAAAAGAGGACAAAAATATTTAAAAGTAAACTGAAATATTTTCATTTATTTTATTTATTATATTGTTAACCGGGTCATAACAACAATAAATTTATAGTAAATAAAGGTATTTATCTCGACCATATTTACCATAAAATTATTCGTGTTAAGACCCGGTTTGCAATATAAATAATGTATATTAAACACGAAAGTTAAAAAATAATTACGTCCAATTTACATATATATACATATTATACCAAATATGCCAATAAAAAGGCTAATAACAAATTGCTTTGTTATGTCAAGTCTTTAATACTTTGCAGATAAATATCTTAAAACTTTTACAGTATTAATAATAATATATTGACAAATGCAAAATGACTTACTCTTTAAGCGCTGGAATATTCTGGAATGCTTCCTCACTAATTTGGAAAATCCGATTACCTCTTAATCGTATTATTTTCAAATTATCAAGACCAGTGAATGCTCGCCTATGAATAATATCTACCAAATTATCTTCTATTAGAATCTCTTGTAATTCCTTTAAGTCAACGAAAGTATGTTGAACAATCTGATTCAATTGATTCAAAGATAGGCATATTTTTTCTAGCTTTCCGTGGATATCACCCTGAAAAATTAATATAAAATTTATAGAAAAAATCGAAGTGTCTGTACTATGTTGTCATAATATGTGGTTAGGGTAATATAGATAGATAACTTAACAAAATATATCAACTACATATAAAATAAATTTAAAATAATTTCCATAAAAGTAATCGACACAAAACAATGGAACTAATCTGAAAGTATATCGAATAAAAATGTTTTTAATCGGTTTTTGACGGAGTTGAATGGAAGTAACTAACATTAATAAAAAAAATATAGCCGAATTGAGAACCTTCTCCTTTCTGAATCAGTTAAAAATAAGAACTTAGTTTTTTTTAATCATATTTTTAATTCTGTATTATCTATACAATATGAAAATGTTTTAATTACATCTAAGGATTTATAGGGCATGATAAACTAACTATAAACTATAAACTAACTTGTAAAGTTCCTTTGGAGAAATGATCAATAGCATTGTCTTGTAAATTCAATGACTTCAATTTATACAAGAAATGAAACGACGTATCTGGAACATTCTTCAGTTTGTTGTTACTGAAGTCCAAGTGTTGTAGCTCAATCAATGCTTTTAGAGGCTCGAACGGGAGTATTTTCACGGATTCTGCCAAACCATTTGCCAATTTCAGAGTCGTTAAACTATGTAACTGAAATTTAATAAAAATATGTTATATTATAATTTAGTTAGTTTGCTCTCATAGTTATATGACAGATTTATTTTATTACTCAAGTTTATTTACTTTTGTCAATCTTGCAGTTTGTATTCACTTAAAATCTTAAATAAATAATCCGTTCAGGACATTGTTCGTTTAAAAGAGCAACACGAAAGTTTCGTGCTCGTTCTTTTTTCCGAATGAGCAGTGGGATAAAAAAATATTATGTGACAATTCAGAAGTGCATATACTAAATTTATTTGAATAAAGATTATTTCTATTTAGATTGAAGAAAGTTTGATATGTATATTCATATGTCTTCAACAATCAATAAATAATGTTTCTGAAGTGAAAGGTAAGATTAAGTAAAAATCAATGTTATAAGTACGTAATGAACAACATTAATAAGGTTCTTCTTGATTCAGCGGTGCAGCACACTAGACAATTCGTCATTAGATCCCAAGCCCGCTTTACTACAGTTGCGGGTTCGATTTCTTGCACTAGGTAATTCGCATTTGTATTCATAAGTATTATCAATTGTATTGGGTTGGGTGTTTTATATGTATATTTTATAAATATAGGTATATGTTTGGATGTTTCTATAATGAGACTAGATGGACCGCTATCTATCATCACTGTGTGATTTATTCAGGATTAATATTTTCTATTATATATTTATACAAATAATTTTCATATTTGTTCTGCTTAAAAATATTATTCTATTAATTAGGATGTAAACAACTAATTGTTTCAATATTATATACATTTCAATGTACCCAATTTAAGCAAAGTTTCAATAACAATCACGGTATTATATGAAAGATATGAACGATTATTACCTCAGCAAAAGCAAATGGGTCTATAAAATCTATGTCGTTCTCAGACAGATCCAATGTCTTAATTGTCCTAACGTGTTGGAATGCACTGGATTCAATTTTGTTGATATTGCTGCCAAAGATTTTCAGATCCTCCAACTCTACTCCGAACTCTTGGAAATCTTCAGCTCTTAGGTTACGTCTGATAAGTTTCCCTACTGATACTGATCGGAGGGACCTCATTCTGAAAATTATATTGGTGGTAATGTACTGTAGTGTTATTAAATAAATTAACATTATTATAATATTAATACGTGAAGTAAAAACTTTTACGAAAACTACGCGGACGGAGCAGTATGAAACGTACCCTTACATATAAGGGTAAGTTTATATAGAAAAAGGAGTACAGAATGCTAATATTTTTTTATAAGTTATGTATTTAAAATACATTATAAATAAAAAAAAGCATTACACACATTATAATGTATTTGACTATGTAATATTATGTTATCTGTGATTTGACACACATACGCATAAAAGTATAGTCTATAGTCAACAGAAGCTTAATAAGTTCAAAATTATAATTTACAAAAATTATGGCCGAATTTCGACTACTAGTTTCAATTGATCGATATTAATATAGAAAATAAATGTTTATTGGAATGATTGTTCATCTCTGGAATCTCTTTGATAGCATTTAATAGCTATTAAAAAAAATGGCAGAAATACTATTCCACATATTAAATAGCTTATAAATAAAACCTAATAATTATAAAAATACTTAACGACATAACCCGTGGGAGATAAAAAAATAACGAATTAAAATAAATTAGAGTAAGTAATTTTACGAACCTTCTTATATCCTGTAAGCTCATCTCAATAGAAGTGGATCCGCTTATGTCCAAATTAAATAATCTGTACTGAAAATTATTGAAAGACAACTGGCCGTATTCTGAAGGAATATTTGTTGACAACAAATTGATATCCACCTGAAATTAATAAATTTATTATAGTACATCATTAGGTATAATTTGCTTTTAATATATCTGGCTTATGAAAAATAAACTATGGACAATTTTTTTGTCAAATGTGAAATAAATGATGTTTTTACTTCATTTCCATAATCCCTTTATGGAAGAATATAGAAACAATGTTAATAATTTAACTAACCAATAATTACCTACATCAATTTGAATTTTTTTACTCCTTTCCCCTTGTAAGATCCAGACACAATATTCAAATATAACAAAATAGCACTAATCTTTTTAGTTAATAATATACAATAATTCAATAATATACCAACATTAAATTTATATATGAAGTCAGTTAAAATGATTGACATTAAATACTCTTAACTTTAATCTTTGTGCCCTAAAGACATCAAACCCTTCTCAAGTTTTGATTAAAAGTCAACAAGTTGCTGGCTAATGAAGACAGATAATATAACAAAGGCCTCACCTTGTTCTCCCTAAGGTTTAAGAATCTCAGTGAATCTAACTTGTTCAACATGAACTTGGATATCATTGTCAAGTTGTTCTCCGACAGATCTAGACTCTGCAAGCTGTTCTCGAGTCCAGCAAATGATGCAGGCGATAAGTCCCAAATAGCGCAGTCTCGTAGTGAGAGTGTTTTGATTTTAGCATTGCGGAATGCATCTTCCTGTAATAATTTTCCATTTTATAGATCACCGTTAATATTATAGACATACTAGGGAACCTGCAAGACGTCCTGTCAGAAAAAGCACCGTTCTCTACTGGGTTTAATTTTAAAAATAGATTTTTTAATCTAGTATTATATTTATCAAAATATAAAGAACTTACCCGTATAATATAAATGGGATTCCTGTCTAGTGACGTGGTGTTCAAAACGTTGAAGTATTTGAATGAACCGGGAAGTAGTGTGTTTATTAAATTGTTGTCCAATCTGCGAAAATAATGGCTTATAAGAAAAATATAGTATCAAATGACTTCACAAGCAGGAGGGATTTGCCTGCATTTTTTTTGTACGTGTTCTCAGAATTCTATATGAAGTTTTTTTATGATTCCTTTCTTTTATAAATATAATATTCTCAAGTAAATTGAGAGTCGGTAGTTCTCATGGAATAAAAGAAGGAAAGAAGTTTTTGAGTTATCCTTAATGTGTCAATCGATTGCGAAGTGGATTTTTCGTTGCCTGAACTCAGTTTATATATTAAATACTATTTATACTGTATAATACTCATGTCACGTGAAGTACAGCGATGTTACTTTCTGATGGGGAAAGCGATATTTACTATTGATCTCCACGCGGTCCTTTCAGAAATTATTGTGCAATTTCTGGTAAATACGTTACGATGAGCTAACTGACTAGATCTCACCCTTATATGTACTATCCTTCACTGGTGCCCCGCAAGCGTAAACATTATTATCTTTAAAAAATAAGTCTATGAATTTAGAAAGAATTTTTAAATTCAATGAAATTTTGGATTTTGACTAAAAATCTAATTACGTTTACGTCAAAACTGTTCTTTTTTTTTTTTACATTATTATTATCATCAACAATAATAGTATCCAATAGCACTTACTTTAAAGTGTCTAATGATAACCTGACACTGTTCATCTCATGTGCTGGGGGTACTTGTTTAATGATGTTGTTCGCGAGATCCAGGATCCTCAGTTGGCGCAGTGGAGAGATCTCCTCATACGGGATGAACGACAGCTGGTTGTCGCTTAGAAGTAGCTGGAATTTAGAAGGCAGGAGTGGTGCATTCGTTTTATTATGACAGTTATGATAAGCAGAGTATATGTTATGAGTACTATACAACTGATAGAAATACTTAAATATGTATTATTTGTAAATACATACATAATATATATAAAAAACTCCCACGCCCTGACACCCAAATGTTTACATCATGAGAGACATCAAGCAATCCTGCAATCATCGGATGTATGGCAGTGTGGTAAACCATTAGACCGCCGTAGAGGCCGTTAACAGTATGCAAAAGTTACTGTGAAATCAAAATTACTTTAAAGATACCAAAATTATCTAGGTATAGATAATTTTTTTATTGTAGTACATTACTAAAAACTATTCAACATGTTATATTGCTACTAATATTATAAAATGCTCCGGTTGGTCGGAGTATTCCCACTAAGTTCAAAGACAAATCTGTATTTACCTTATTAAGTCTGCCCATTCCATCTCGAAAGACTCCGCTGTCGATGACTGTTAGATGGTTTCCATGAAGGTCTAAAGTTTCCAGCATTGGTAGACCAGAAAAAGTATCCAATGGAAGGGTTGCTATTGAATTGTCCGCCAGAATTAACGTATGCAATGTATCTTGTAAACCTCTCCAATTTTCGCCTGATATTTCTGTTATTTCATTACCTGAAATAGTAATCATTATTTTGTTTATAAAATGAATACCAATGAGTGATTTTTTTTATTTTAGTCTGCTTGCGTTCTCCTACATTTATATTGATTTCTATATAGTTTAACTTTATGAGTTTTGTATATAATATATTAATATAAGGTTACTCTAGAATGATCTACCCTTCAATCAGAGATAGAATTTTTAAAGTTGGTCTAGTATTTTTCGAGTTTATCCATTAGAAACATACAAATAAACAAACTATATATAGACGTATCAATATAATATTAATATAGATAAGAAAATTACTTCACTATTTTTACCGTTAATATAGCATTATTTAGAACTGTTATAGAAATAGAAATAATTTTGATACGGTAGACAATTGTACCGTTAGTTATTAACTAACAATATTGTTATTGAGTTCATTGATGGACAAAACTTTATAACTAAAATAATAGCATAATTTGTATGTTAATCTAAATTTATACGTTAAAATAAATAAAACAACATAATTAAGAAACTGATTATCTGTTATGCGTAAGTGAATTAATTACTGGATTCTAAAAAATATAGAAACATGTTTATGAATAATTGATTAACAATGTTATTTCTATTTTAGGTTAACTATGAGAAGTTTAAACAAAGCTTTAAATTGCCCCAAGGAAAACCAGTACTCTCCTAAAAAACTATTGTAGAGTCACGTGCAAAAAACATGTAGACATTATTGTATAATAATATTTATAATTACCAATATTTTTTATTGCAACTACTTTGTTTAGTTAAAGTCCAACTTACATATAAATAAAAATGATGTACATATTATAATATAAGACATTATGGTCTGTTGGTTTTCTATAACTGTCTATAATTAAAATATATTTCTATCTAATGGATACTCTGTGACAAAGTAGAAGATAGGTTATTTCCTACATACATCTTGGAAGATGGATGACGTACGTCTGCCTCATTTCCCGGATGTATCTAGGGTTCGAGATTGCATCTAAGGCGTATTGCAAAAACGCCTAATAAAAATGCCCGTAACTGGTAACCCGTATGAATAGGTTGATGAATGTCGAGGAAACGATAGAATTATGTTATATATAATTCTTTTGAACCACTAAAGAATTTAGTGTTATGCACTGTCTATCTCAATATGAGACTCGCGTGACGATATAAGCTTAAATTTCAAGTATACCCTTTTTATACCTTACAAATCTTACGTAGTGTGAAACGGACACTGATTCCACCTAAAATTTATTAGGGCTAGTTTTAAATTACCTGATAAATCAAGCTGTCGTAACTTCTGCAAGAATCTCAGCGATCTGCTCGGCACAGCCGTTAGTTTATCTTCCTTCAGTTCTAGTTCCCATAATGTGTTTTCTAGACCGTGAAATGCTTCTTCATGGATTGTCTCTAGAGGGTTCTGGTTTATTGCTAGTCTGTACAGCCCTGCAATGAATTATTTAATAGGTTGAGCTAAAACAACGAAAAGTTTGCCACGTGAAAGCAACATGTTTCCATTACAAAATACAGGTGAGCCAGATTTATGCAGGTGAAACTTTACTTTATGAAAACGTGTTCTAAGAGTTGTTTTAAGATCTTTAATAATAATTAACGAAGTCGCTAATGATTTATTTTGTTTTAAACTTGTTTAATAGGTTACAAATAAGGATCTACTTATGTTTTATAATTAATTCATGACATTTTCTTCATTATTTTAGTGTTAATATAAATATAATTATAATATTATTAAACTAAAAAACGAATATTATCTAATAACGTTAATAACATATATATAATTAAATTAATTGAGAATATAATGAAGGACCATTGTTCAAATAAAACAAATTACTCATCATAATCATTATAGGGTATATTTAACCAAAGATTATTGAGACCACAAGATTTCAAGTATGCCTATTGTATTTATTGTTTACCCATCTATTGTTTTACTTCAATATTCGTTTAAGTTGACGAAATATTACCATGTAGGTTTGTGTGCTAACTATAATGCGTAGCTTACTAATTTCTCAGTTTGTAGAAAATATTACCTGTAGCTTGAAAGAACTGTGGTTCCAAATCCCTAATGTTGTTCCCTGTAAGTTGTAACATGAATACTTTCGAACTGTTCACTGTAGCTGGAACCTTGTATATAGGCACTTGGTTGCAGGTCACGATGCCCAGGTCTCCAGCTGGCTTGGAACACGTACATAGCGCTTGGAAAAGGCATGGCGGATGTCCAGGGTCCACGTGTAACTGTAAGTTTAAAATAGTTTTTACAAATCCTAGCAGCCAAGCAGCATACTAGTGACTACGGTCGTCACATGATAAAGTGATATCCGTGGTGTTTATGTATATAGGTGATGATTACTGTTTACCATTAGTTATAACTCAACTTGATTGTCAAAGTTAATTAAGAAAGTCCCGCAAAATCGGCAAGTAACATTTAAACTTAAACAAAACTTCAATACCAACTAATTTAATCCCTATTTCAATAATAATGAGATACTCACGTCTAAAGCTCTCGCCAGTGACGCCCATATCATCAACAGCAGCGTAACCACCACCAGACTGTACCCAAACTTGATAATCGTCATCAAACTCTGGAACAACAGAGAATAATTTATTAGTTTACCTTCCCGGATCCATTGTTATCATATCGGCAATATGAATTACAATAGATTCGCTGTCTATTGAATAGATTGATGGCCTTTGTCAGCAGTTTGGTTGGGTTTTGCATTGAAAAAACATATTTCCGTGTCCATTTTGTATAAACATATTGAATTTACTCTACCTTTGTATTATATGTTGTTATATAAATATATATTTATTGATTTTAATTCGTAATAAATACTATTTTATTGTTCATAATATATACAAATAATATATCTATAATAATAATAAAATAAATATAATATATTTGAAGAGCATATAAATTTTTAAATGCTGAATAAAAGTTATTATGATTTCTGGCTACCGCCTAATGATTTTAATTTTTAATTTTATTTCCAAGTTTCTTTAGTTATTACTATTAAAATATTTTATATTGTTTACTATACATAACATTCATTGACAATTATAAAATACCTGAATATATATACATAAAAAAAGGCATTAGCTCCTTCAATTTCCTGTATTACTTTTCAACTGACTTTATCTTTTCAAGACGGAACAAGAAAACCACCCTCGTCCGAGAGTGGCAAGACATGTTTTTTCCTCATTTCACCGCAAAAAGGCTTGAAATACTCAGTCTCTCGTGTCGAAAAGAGCAAAGAAATTATTCATCTAGAGAAAAAAAATACAGTTCAGTATGAAAGGCAAATAATAACAACTCTAATCTCTTTATTCATAGGTAGTAATAGTGTTAAAATGATCACTTGCATGAGGGGCCGAAAGTGTCGATCCCATATGAATAAATAATTTTTGACTTTGACTTTGACATCTTTACATAGTATAAAATAAAGTCACATCCGCTGTCTGTTCGCTTAGATCTTTTAAACTACGCAACGGATTTTAATACAGTTTTTAGCAATGGAGTGATTCAAGAGTAAAGTTTATATGTAGGTAAATATAATACTTAATACCTATACTTGTACCCGTATGCCGGGGCGGATAGCTAGTAATATATACAAGTATAATAAATACGAGGATAATGTAAAAGAGTAAAAATCATGCTATATTATTGAACTGTATATCATTATTATTTTCTATGAGTAGTGATTACATTTTTTTATAAATATTTCAATATACCTAATAATTCTTTAATGCTACTCGATAGAAAAACTTTAGTCTAGAACAGCGCTATTTGATTGGTCTAGAAATTATTATATTATACAGAATTATTATTAATTTATATTTATAGAAATTACCCAAGGAGACTTTATATTATCAGGTAATAAATACCTGATAATATAATGTTCTCTCTAATATAAAATCTCCTCGGGTACATTTTATTATCAACTCTAAACATATTAAAGCATATATTTTCAATTAAATTTGGGTCGTTTACTATAAGCAGTATAAATAATAATAATAGTTTTATACCTACAGGTACCAAAATCATTATTTTAATTCCAATTAGCGTGAAATTTTGTTGGTCTAGTAATTATGCAAAACAAACTTTTGTTAACAGACTGGGGTAAATACTCCCATAGCTATATTTTAATTTTAAATAAAGCTTTCCAACGGTTATGTGCTCTGCGTTCATAACGAAACATGAATGTTAATGAAAACCAAACGTCTGTATGAATTGTAAACAGCCAAATATGTATGCTATTTATTATATAAAGCCTCATATCATATGTGTAATCTATATTTTGACTACGACTTCTCTAATCGACGATCTAATCTTAGAGCATCATCCATGTTCCATCTACATCACAGAAGAGTAAAATAACAATGGCTTGTTATTATGAAAATTACTATGCGTTCTGTTAAAAATACCGTAGAAACTTAGATACAGTAAAAAAAACACCTCCAATCGATCCTCCATCCAATTCAAACGAAGATAGAAATTACGATAGCTAGCTTAGGTTCGAACCTTAGAGGTTCCTTCAGAGTAGAATCATATTCGTCAGGCAAGAGTTGGCCTTCAGCTGCTCCATAAGTAATTCCGCGGATTTGGATGCAGTATGCCATCTGCACTCAACCCTGATCGTTCGGTGTAGTTGTCAAGGCCAGTTGCGATCAACAGCATTAAAATATTTCGAAAAAAAACGATAATTCAACTTATTTTAAGAACTATTTCATTTTTTCTTTTGAAGGCGTGTAATTAAAGAATTATTTACACATATCTAACATAATAATGGTATTTAGTTATAGCACTGCGGTTATCAGCAAATATCGGAGAATATTGAACACATACGAGGTTTCGGAATGCCTCTGCGGTTGCAGTAAATTCAAACTTCCCGTGGGAAGCTGTACTAAATCTATAGGTATCATTATATCTAAATCTACAGTAATATATGAAGCTGAAAAGTTCGGATGTTTGTTCGAAAGAGCTAACCTCTGGAACTATATTAAACCGTTTTGACGACCTTGGTGGTCTATCGGTTTAAACATCGCCTTACTTCCGATAGTCGCAAGTTTGATTCCGCGCACACTAAAAATATTTGTATTCACGGGTATGATTGTATTGCTCTAAACGTTTCCTATGTATACTAAGTATAGCTATGTGTATTATGTATATATATATTGATTACCACCGCCTAGTCCCAAGAGTAATCAGGTGGCGTTATGTGAATTGTCCTGGGTTATTATTTCATTACTAAGTTAATATTTTAAAGGCTATATTTAACATGATAGTGAAATTCTAACTGAGCAAAAAAAAACGTCGAAAGAAATGCTAAGTGAAAGCGGAGTTATAACCCGGGCGACCCGTGTTATGATGGTAGTTCGGGGAAAAAGGCGGCAGACATTTTCTTTAAATTAAACTGCGAATAAAACCTCGAGGCACAGCTAGTATACTTTTACACAATTGCTGAGGTAGCGAGGGTAACGTCCTTTAACTGTAACGTGTAATATTCACGGATCAATGGCGCGACTTGTAGACTAAACCATTTATGATTATTATGTAAATCGTGCATTTTTTTATAAATAAATATACCTAATGATGTGGATGATATGTGCTTTGGTAACGTTTTTCTTTTCAGGTCTGTCATCATACAATTATGTAATCATATATTATATTCAAGTATTTCAAGTAGTTGTCGCTAATATGTTCATAATTCGAACATAATTCAGACGTTATTAAGATTCTATGTCCAAAGATTATAAATAATAATAATAAATGAAAATTGACACAGAATTTTGTAGGTGTCGGCCAGATTTGCACTCACGACCATTTGTGTGTAAGGCGGGTTGGATTACCTACTCTTTAAATTAAAAACTTTAATAAAAATAATTTTAATATTAAAACTTTAATCTACTAATACACTTGTATAATAATAATGATAATAATAGCTAATAATAATAATAGCCTTCAATTAATAATCTTTCTTACATAATATTTATGATAATTTTATTTAATCATTTTCACACCGTTACGTGAAAGTTGTCTTGCTATCCAGCATAGGTATCCCCTAGAGTTCGCCATCGAATGCAATTCTGCGCTGGTCATTCCCAGGTAATACTCTAATCTTCCAATAATACTCCCAATCTCAATTATACTACACGAATGTGTATCTACCTGGACATAGTCGTATTGTATTGTAATAATAATTCGTATGATTAGCATTTTCTCCTCTCAAAAATATTCTAAACAAAGATTTATGTAGGCGGTGCATTACCAACATAAGTACTTTTTTTTACTAAAAGGCATTTCAAAGAACGTCTCAAGCTTTATCAAGTTGAATAAGAAATAGAATCAAAGAAAATTCTCTTTATTACAAATGACGAAGCGCGTACTTTTCCTCATAAATAAAACATAAAAATACCGTTCATTTGATGTTAATCCTTAGAAGAATGATTCATTGTATATAAAATGTGGTATCCTTGTATGACAGGTAGCTAAATATTATTTTAACATTCTACATTATAATGAAAGTCACGTTCAAGGTAAAATAATACAATAATAAAGAGAACACACGTACAACAATAACTGAAAACAGTAAACACGATTAAATTACATCTTTCGTCAATGAACTTATGCTTTTTTAATACTACTATGTAATATTATGTTATCTGTGATACTACTGAAGACCAAACATACCGAATAACGAAATGAATAAGTACATAATTCAAAGTAGCTATCGATTGTTCAGTTCTGTACAACTGATCCTAGTTTATATAGTTGGTGTTACTGGCAGCTTGTCTACCATTCTTTTATAAACTTTATATTTTTTATATATCACTTTTGACAAACTAATATTGTTTTGTTACTCTCTCGCTATGAGCCCTTTTGGGAAGAATACACATTTTTACTAGTATTTGGTTTTTATTAAAATATAAAATAGTTGTGTTCCCGCTCCAGTAACAGTTAGTACGGACTTTTATTTAGCCCGTCCAAACAATATTCAATGATTTAATTTAAATTCGATTGATAATTTTATAGAAACAGTAGCTTTTGCCAGCGGCTTTGCTCGCGTTAATTTATCCCTTTAGGAGTGGAATTTATCAAAATCCTTTCTTAGAGGATGCCTACGTCATAGTAGCTTTATGCATGCAAAGTCTCAGTCTAGATCACTACGTCAGTCACCTTTGTGTTAAATATATTTAGATTGCCATCGATTACACTCAGCTTTATATATTCTTTCCCTAGATGAATATATAACGGCTCTGTGTGAATTCATCTAGATGAATTCACACAGAGCCGTCTAGACTCAAGCTAACCACAGCTTGTTTTATAGGTACTATAAATAAGTAGATATATTTTTTATGCAAGTAAATACATAGAAAACTCTCAGAGTAATACAAACAATCATAATCACGAATACAAATACAAATCGTGCGAGAATCGAACCCGTGACAAACAGAGGTAAAACTGTGTGCTAAATCGCCAGGCTACCGAGGCTGTACACGCCACGTACAAGATAAGAGATCTATTCCATATATACATAGATAAGTTTATGTTTTTATTCACATTATTGTATTACTCTATGTCTAT